GTGGCCGGTTTGCAGGGGATGGGGTATGAGACGAGACTGAGGGAACTGGGTCTCTTCAGCCTGGAGAAGAGGAGACTCAGAGGGGATATGTTGGCGACATACAGGTATGTGAGGGGATGTCACATGGAGATGGGTAAAGACCTGTTCTCCCCTGCAGAGGAAGGCAGGACACGCTCCAATGGAGCAAAGCTCAGGGAGCCAAGGTTCCATTTGGAAGCCAGGAAGCACTTCCTGACAGTCAGGACCCCAAGGGTGTGGAATGGGCTTCCACGAGAGGTCGTTGAGGCCCCATCGGTGTGGGTTTAAGGATAGGCTGGATGTGCACATGGTGGGCATGTTGTGAGCGGAGATGGCTGGTGTCGGAGGTTGGACTGGATGGCCTGGGAGGCCCCTTCTCACTCGCTCTGTTTCTATGTTTCTAATCACCACAGTGGCAGAAGTGTGGCTTTTGGCAGCCAGAACTGGGTATCCGAAGGAATGAGGCTTTCAGGTAGAACCCTGGATTCCATGTCTCTAAGATTTTGGTGGGAATTCAGGAAAGAGCAAGAGCCAAGAGACATAGCCAAGAACATGGAACTTGCCATGCAATGGTAGCATATGGCAGTGGAAATATGGGTAATGCCAAGAATAACAGGTACTGGAGTCCCACATTTTTATATTTTTTTCATATAGGAAAGACACAGGGAAGGAACTTGTTCACTCTGGCTTAAAATGATTCTTTAGACAAGCAAGTGAAAAGTGGGAGATATGATTCTGGCCAGAGCAGGCAATAGTCTCCATAGGGCAGATTCCTCTACCCAGTTCTACTCAGGATGGGCTAAATCTCATCATGACATCCCATGCGGAGAAGTTTTGCAAAGCCATCACACTTATCAGTAATTATGTAGCATCTGGAAAATATGCAACTGTTTGCCTGGTATGCAGACAAACCTATCTACAAATTCATATGCCTTAATCTAACCATGAGCCACTCAAGTTTTCATGTGGTTGATTGTATTATTTTAAAGAATTATGGAATCGTAGAAAAGTAGCATTGGAAGGGGTCAAGAAGGCCTTTGGGTCCAACTCCCTGATCAGTGTAGGATTCCAGGTTAAATCATCCCTTTCAGATGGCTGTCCAGCTGCTTCTTGCATGCCTCCAGTGTGGGAGAGCCCACAGCCTCCCTAGGTCATTGGTCGCATTGCTGTAGTGCTCTAACTGTGTGGAGATTTTTTCCTGAAGTCTGACCAGAAAGTTCCTGTAACTTGCACTCATTGTTCTATATCTTGCACTATGGGATGGCTGAGAAGAGATCCGGCCTCTCCTCTGTGTGACACCCTTTCAGGATATGAAAAATGCCATCATATATCCCTTCAGTCTTCTCTTCATGAGGCTAAACATGCCCAATTCTTTCAGTCTCATAAGACTTTGTTTCCATCCCCCTAATCATGTTGTCACCCTCCTCCAAACCTTTTCCCGTTTGTTTGCATTTTTCTTAAACCCAGAACTGAATGCAATACTCAGGATAAGTTCTAGTAAGAGCTAAATAGAAGGAAATTAATGTGTCATGGGATTCAGAAGTGATACTTTTGTTAATGCAGCACCACACTGTTCACTCATATTCAGCTGTGATCTACAACAATTCCAAGATCCTTCTTGCTTGCAGTATTGTTCAGCCAACACCCAGCTCTTAGCTACGAAATTGATTTCTTTCTGCTGGGTGCAAAACTTGGCATTTGACCCTATGAAATTGCGTTCTGTTGTTTTCTGCCCAGCAAAAATTTTATTCTGTTGTTTTCAAGATCACTTTGAATTCTGTTTCTATTTTCCAAAGCTTCTGACTTCCAGGGTGTCATCAGCAAATCTGATAAGACTTCCCTGAATTTGTTCATCTAAAGCATTAATAAAAAAAGTTTAAGAGCATTTGGCTCAAAACCAAATCCTGCCATACTCCACTCATTACCTCTCTCTGTTAATGGCTTTTAGCATACCTCACTAACATCAGGTAATTCTCAGCTTAGCCTTCCAGGAACCATCACTACAATTCCATGCTATCTGCTTGTAACTCTTCCTTTGTAGCCTGTGCTTCCTTCATCTTCCTGTATGTGTTCTTTTTTTAGTTTTCAGGTTTTCAGTTTTCATCTCTAAGCTTTCTGTAATTGGCTTCTTTTGTGGTCTTCTACCCTTTTCCTTGTTGGAATTGATTATAATTCTACCTTTCGAATTTCCTTTTTCAAAATTCCTACCCTTTTCTTATTAAAGTTCCTTGCCATACAACCTGGTTCTCAGTTTATTGAAATGGACTTTCCTATAAGATCCAGGGTACATGTTAGGCCACACTCAGCATTTCAGAACAAAAATTCAAGTATAACATGGTCACATTCCCGCAAAGTTCCCATAACTGCCACTTTATCTACTAGGTCATCCTTGTTTGTTAGAATCAAGTCAAGGATAGACAACCTTCTAGTTTGTTCCTCAGCTTTCTGTAGGACAAAGATATCAGCAGCACCAGTTAGAAATTTCTTGGAGGAGCCAGAGTTTGTTTCCCAACAGATATTGGGGAAATTGCTACTACTTCATGCTTCCTTGACACACTGGCAATTTGCTTTTCACAGTTTCATCCTTGTGTTTTTCTTGACTCTGACCACCATGCTCCTTTTGTTCTTTGCTCCATTAATTTTAATCCAGATGCTTTCAAGGGGGCTACAAATTATGTATGTATGTATGTATGTATGTATTTATTTATTTATTAAGTCTTAATATTTATATACCACCCCATTCACATAGGCTCTGGGCTGTTTACTAAGCTCATTCTCTTATATTTCAGTGCAGGGGTTTGTATCTTTAACATATAGCATGACTGTTTGTCCCTTCTTCTTGGACTAGTTATATCCTTCAATTGCTAAATTCCATTCATGGGAGTCATTCTACTAAGTTTCAGTTACAGCTACCCAGGCATATTCACCCTCCTGTTTTAAGAGTTCATGCTGTTTGTTTTCTATAACCTGGGCATTGGTATATAGACATCACTAGTTCTCTTTCTACATTTTTGGAAGACTATTATCGAGCACTGTCAGAGCTGCATTTTCTGTTGTGGAGCATATGCTTTTGTTAATTTTACTTCCAAATTTACTTTTCCTTACCATGCAGGATGCAGTTTAAAGCCCTTCTGCTGAATTTCTTCAAGCTGTGGCCAAATGCAGTCTTTTCTTTCTTTGTTAGGATCAACCCATCCCTTGCCAGCAGCCCATCTTCCAAGAAGTGTAGCCTGTGGTCACAGAATCCAAATCTCTCATGTCAGCACCACCTTCATAGCCAGACATTCACCCAGAGTTCTTGAGTTTCTTTCCCAAAGCTTCAAAGTCTGATGTGATTTCTTTAAAACCTGACCTTACCATTTCATCCATGTGCATGAAAAGCAAGGGACATGTGTCAGTGGGCTTCATGAGCATGGGCAGCCCATCAGTCACATCTCTACCCTATCTTCCAGGGAGGCAGCGTAACTGGTAAATCCATGAACACAGCAGGGAGTCTCCCACAATTCAGCTGTGGCACTCCCAGTTGTGGCCCCTGGCACCTACTTTGTATTCTTTTTGATGCCAATAAAAAAACCTTTTTAAGTTTCCCAGCATTTTAACAGGTTAACTTCCTTTTTAAGATTGCATTTTGTTCTGTGCCGCTACTATACTTCTCTGCTGATTCAATTGCAATTGTGGTTTTGTTGTTTTAAATTAATTTTTGTTTGTGTGTGTGGGTTTTTTCTTTTGTTAACCTCCCCAAGAGCTCTGGTTATTGGGTGGTGTAAAATGAAAAGAATTAAATAAATAAATAAATAAATAAATAAATAAATAAATAAATAAATAAATAGCTAGCTAGCTAGCTAGCAACTCTTCTTGTTGCTGTAGGTGTCACTTCTTCTGCTTGACCGACTTTCAGGTTCATGCTTCCTCTTCCCTGGAATGCCTGTAGTTCTCCCTCCACAGACTGCCCTCCAGTCTCATTCGCAAGTTCCTGAAAGCCGCTTCATAGTTGCTTAAAGGAATTGAGTAATGTTGTCCTGAGTATGTAATAGCCTGCAGCAAGGTCCCGTAGTTCAGCCTCTTCCCACCAGAGATACAAGCTACATAAAGATAGCTACATATAGAGGTTGCATAAACTCAACTTCCTACAATGTCAGTGCATGATTTCACAGAATACTGGAGCAAACTGTCTCTCAGGCAGCACTGCTTGCCAGCTTGCCAGCAGAAACTAAATGTCTGCACACCTCTAGCAAAGATGATGATGGTTTATCATCTCTACCCTGCTTTTCTACTAACGTGTTCAGCGCAGTGAACAACATATATGGCTTTTGCTGAGGACTTGTCCAATTCTATCACTCATTCTTCCTCTACAATTTTTTAAATAAAGCATTTGTTGTTTGCTTTCAGATTTTTGTTAAGAGGTGATAAGTGGTGCTTGAGCCATTAGATGCCTGCTGATGACTCTTTTTAATCTTCAGCAATATTATAACATCACTTCTGACATGATGACTGAGGAAATGTTCCTAATAGCTAAGGAGAATTTGCAGACTCACATAGAAATTGACAGAGAGGAGAAAGAACTTAAAAGCCTTATCAACCCCTTGCACATTTGGATCAACAGGTAAGACCATGAAAAGGAACTTCTAAAGCAGGGGTCTCAAACTCGCAGCCCGCAGGCCAATTGCCGGGATGGGCAGGGCACGGGGAGGGGCCCTGCACCCTTCAAAGCGCCAGCGGCACCCGGGCTGGCCACGGGATGAGCGGCCCACCACCACCGCCGTGGTGGAATACTTGATGCAGCCCAGTCTCACCCAGACTCTACTTCCAGCGGCCCCCAGGTAAGTTGAGTTTGAGACCCCTGTTCTAAAGGAAGTCTTCAAAAGTTTAGCCAGTTCATTTCACCTTACAACTGCTCACAAACTGGAATAAATGTTGAATCTAGAATGTGCGCGTAAATGAGTTCATTCTTTGCTTGTGTTCAAAAGATCCCTGAACTTTCAACTAGGTAACAAGGCAGTAATGACACACTTAAAGAAATCTGGGAAGAATTCTTGGAGGCATGGGAAAAATCTCCTTATGTCCTGTACTCAGAGAAATGGCTACTGCCTTCAGCATGCCAAGAGTGCTGCTCCCCTCTCCTACCCTCCTGAGTGTCTTCCTTCCCCTTGCCTGGCTTCCTCCATATATTCTGGCTCCTTGCATCCCTCCCTGCCCCCTTTCATCTCTACTTTCTTGATTTCTCCCCACTATTAGTTTTGACGTACTTAAAGGAGGTGATGTAATTGGATAGCCTGTTCTGCATTTTCATTACAAAGCAGTGTGATGAGTTCAGCCTTCTTGCACCACATACTGTATTTCTGAACAAAAGTTACTTCTCAGAATCCCCCAGGAATCCTGTTTATGGAAGTGACTACTCTTTGACAGATCCACTGATCTGTCATGGAGAAAGCTTCCATTTTTAAGGAGAGATTTCTAAGGAGGTGAAAACATTCTGGATGGGAAGGTATGCAAGGGCATGAATCACATAGTTGAGCTAAAAAAGCAGCTCTGCTCTCTGAAAATGATATTACTGGAGTATGTGGGATGTGGCTAGGGTTCCTTTCTTATAATAATCAACCCCAACAGTTGATTATTGGGGACCATGAAAACCTGTGAAATAAGGTTTGTCAAAAAAGCAGATCTCCTGTGCAATTCAACATGTTCAGCCTTAACATGTTTCATTATCACTCTTCTTAACTAGGGCATCTGCTCATATCTGCTATCATCTGATCCCTTTACTAACCAATGGGCAAATATTTGGAATGGGAACTGAGGTCAGCCTCCATTTGCTGGACAGAAGGAGTAGCAAAGACGAGCTGGAGGGTATTGTGATGGAGACACAAGACTTGGCATCCCCCACCCTACGCAGTGTCTCCTTCCACACTGAACTGGACGAAGTTTTTCTCGATGCTGATGTCATCATTTTGCTTGATGATATCCTTCAGGAGACAATCCCAACAATTGAAGAGTGCATTCGACAAGTGACCGATCAATGTGAGATATATGGTCCCCTGATAAAGAAGAATGCCAAAAGTGATGTCAAAATTATTGTGATAGGGAAAACTTTTGTCAATCTGAAAGCCCTGATGCTTATGAGACATGCTCCCTCCGTTAACCGTCGAAATATTGTCACTCTGGCAATGCTTTTGGAAAGTGAAGCCAAAGCCATGTTGGCAAGAAAATTGCAAATGCACCCAGCTGGTAAGCAACAGGTGATTGTGTACTGGTTACCATTTAGTTAGGGTACAATCAGGAAACTTTTAACCCTCCGACTCAGAGGACTATGCTAATCCTAGGGAGGGCAGGAGGAGGGCAGAGATGAAGGTAGACTCAGTTGTCCTCTTGCCCAGTAAATCACTTAGATGTCTGATTTTGGCCATCTAAGTGCAGTGCTTCAGAACAGGAGGGAAGGAGGCTGAAGTACTACCACAATACATGATACCTTGGCAGCTTGGGTCTCTTTCCTTCCCCAACCCTGAGGAAAAATGCCCTGCAAACCCAACTCTGACATCACTCGGTTAACCTCAGAGAAACTGCCAGTCCTTTCTGTGCCAGCAACAGGGGGATTCAGGTGTAGGTCTCTGCCACCCAAGCTAAGTGTAGCCCACTACATTTATACTTCTGAACTCCAAATGTTCATCTGTGCTCATGCCTTCATTGGATTCCATAGTGCTTCCATTTATTACTGATCCTGTTTGCTGTTGGCTTCAGATGAAAAACATGGAGCCAGTAATCCTGTTCCTCCCCAAAGAAGCAGAGTGTCATCAACAGTGTGACACAGGAATTTTGGATATGTCATGCAGGGCCTTAGTTTGAAAGCCCCTACCCCTAAAACTCACCCTCCTCTGACTTTATCATGCTTGTTATGTTATGTTAATCGCTAAGTCATGTCCCACCCATCACGACCCCATGGACAACATTCCTCCAGGCTATCCTGTCCTCCACCATCCCCTGGAGTCCACCTTAGCTCACACTGACAGCTTCAATGACTCCATCTAGCCACCTCATCCTCTGCCATTCCCTTCTTTTGCCCTCAATTGTTCCCAGCATTAGGGTCTTCTCCAATGAGTCCTTCCTTCTCATTAGGTGGCCAAAGTATTTGAGTTTCACCACAGTTCAAAGGCCTCAATTCTTATGGTCCAGCTTTCACAGCCATACATTGCAGCTGGGAAATCCATAGCCTTGATTATACAAACTTGTTGTCAGGGTGATGTCTCTGCTTTTTAGTATTCTGTCTAGATTTGCCATAGCTTTCCTCCCCAGGAGCAAGCTTCTTTTAATTTCTTGGTTGCAGTCCCCGTCTGCGGTGATCTTGGAGCCCAGGAAAATAAAATCTGTCACTACCTCCATTTCTTCCCCATCTATTTGCCAGGAAGTGAGAGGACCGGATGCCATGATCTTACTTTTCTTAATGTTGAGTTTCAAGCCAACTTCTGTGCTCTCCTCCTTCACCCGCATCAAGAGGCTTTTTAGTTCCTCTTCACTTTCTGCCATGAGAGTGGTATCATCTGCATATCTGAAGTTGTTGATATTTCTCCCAGCAATCTTAATTCCAACTGGTGATTCATCTAGCCCCACTTTTCTCATGATGTGCTCTGCATATAAGTTAAATAGGCAGGGCGAGAGTATACAGCCTTGCCAAACTCCTTTCTCAATTTTGAACCAAACTGTGGTTCCACGTACAGTTCTCACTGATCTCTGGTCCTCCCTATTGTATTGTTTTCTTCTATTTCTTTGCACTGTTCATTTAAGAAGGCATTCTTATCTTTTCTAGCTATTCTCTGGAATTCTGCATTCAATTGGCTGTATCTTTCTCTTTCTCCCTTGCCTTTCGCTTCCCTTCTTTCCTCAGCTATTTGTAAAGCTTCCTCAGACAACCATTTTGCTTTCTTGCATTTCTTTTTCTTTGGGATGGTTTTAGTTGCTACCTCTTGTACAATGTTGCAAACATCCATTCATAGTTCTTCAGGCACGCTGTCTATCAGATCTAATTTCTGAAATCTATTTGTCACCTCTACTGTATATTCATGAGGAATATGATACCTGAGTGGCCTAGTGCTTTCCCCTACTTTCTTCAATTTATGCCTAAATTTTGCAAGAAGGTGCTCATGATCTGAGCCACAGTCAGCTCCTGGTCTAGTTTTTACTGACTGTATAGAGCTTCTCCATTTTTGGCTGCAGAACACATAGTCAATCTGATTTCTGTGTTGACCGTCTGGTGATGTCCATGTGTAGAGTCGTCTCTTGGGTTGTTGGAAAGAGTGTTTGCTGTGACCAGCGTATTCTCTTGACAAAATTCTGCCAGCCTTTGCCCTGCTTCCTTTTTGTACTCCAAGGCCAAACTTGCCTGTTATTCCAGTGATCTTTTGGCTTCCTACTTTAGCATTCCAATCCCCCATGTTGATAAGGACATAATTTTTTGGTGTTACTTCTAGAAGTTGTTGTAGGCCTTCATAGAACCGGTCAACTTCAGCCTCTTCAATACCAGTGGTTGGGGCATAGACTTGGACTACTGTGATGTTGAATGGTTTGCCTTGGATTTGAACTGAGATCATTCTGTCATTTTGGAGATTGTATCCCAGTACTGCTTTTCCTACTCTTTTACTGACTATGAAGGCTACTCCATTTCTTCTAAGGGATTCTTGCCTGCAGTAGTATACCTGATGGTCATCTGAATTAAATTCACCCATTCCTGTCCATTTTAGTTCACTGATCCCCAAGATGTCAATGTTCAGTCTTGTCATTTCATGTTTGACCACATCCAGCTTACCTTATAGCTTACCTTATAGATCTTACATTCCGGGTTCCTATGCAGTATTGTTCTTTATAGCATTTGACTTTCCTTTCACCACCAGATACATCCACAACTGAGTGTCCTTTCGGCTTCGACCTAGTCGCTTCATCCTTTCTGGTGCTACTAGTACTAGCCCTCTGTTCTTCCCCATTAGCACATTGGACACCTTCTGACCTGAGGGGCTCATCTCCCAGTGTCATATCTCTTTGCTCTTTAGAACTGTCCCTGGGGTTTTCATGACAAGGATACTGGAGTGGGTTGCCATTTCCTTCTCCAGTGGATCACCTTTTGTCAAAGCTTTCTGCTATGACCTGACCATCTTGGGTGCCCCCATGCAGCTACACAAGCTCCTTCGTCACAGCAAGGCAATGATCCATGAAGGGGTTATCATACTTAGATTTGTGTATTCTGTAGTTTGAGCTGAAATCAATAACAGTTTCTTATAAACAACAGAAGTCTTCACTATTTCATGGAACAGGGCAGAAAACATATGTCTCCTGAAAGTTCTTATTGGCTGGGAGAAGCAGTTAATGCAATACAGACATTTGCTCTTTTAACCAAGCAAGTGGCTCTGGTAATTTGGGGAATGCTATGGTTGACCTTATTCAAACCTCATTTGTAGGGGTCCACTGAAGATTTTAACACTGAGGTGTTGCCATATTTTTACGATCTCATTTGGATTTACTCAACAAAATAATCATGGAATTGACACCAGGTGACTCCTGTTACATCCCCATTTAATACATTTGAATGTGGGTGAATGTTGGATTATGAAGTCACATGGAGATGGGTAGAGACCTGTTCTCCCCTGCAGAGGAAGGCAGAATGCGCTCCAACGGAGCAAAGCTCAGGGAGTCAAGGTTCCATTTGGGTGCCAGGAAGCACTTCCTGACAGTTAGGACCCCGAGGGTATGGAATGGGCTTCCCCAGGAGGTAGTTGAGGCCCCATTGGTGCGGGTGTTCAAGGATAGGCTGGACATCCACATGGTGGGCATGTTGTGCGTGGAGCCGGCTGGTGCCGGAGGTCAGACTAGATGGCCTGGGAGGCCCCTTCTGACTCGCTCTGTTTTCTATGTTTCTATGTTTCTAAAAGAGGTGTCTAAAGGGTAATCCCACAAGGCATTGTATTTCCCCGGCAGACAACATGTGAGTGGCAGAGCCATGCCCCTGCTGTTGGGTGTGCTGCTGCTCAGCAAATCAACAGCTGCTCAGTTTCCACCATGGTGTATGGTGGAAAGAAATCCTCAGCAAGTGTTGATTTGGGAGAAGGGGGTGTCAAGGAGACAGGTACATTTGCTGTGTATGATTACATTTATGGCCATGACATGTAATGGCTTTAGGGAACCTCAGTTTTAGAGGCAAAGTATTGTGGAGTCAATCACCTTCATATCCTACATGCATCTGGTTGACCACTGTGGGGAAGAGGTTGACGAACCTTTGTTCTGATCCAGCTTGACTCCTCTTATGAGTATATTCTTATTGGTTGTTCATTCAATTTTCTATTGTTCCTTCAACAGGAATAAAAAATCTCCTAGTCTGGGGTAACATCAGTGGGAGTAGCTTCGTTGATCTGAGTAAGACAGAGCTCTATAGATATGACAGTGCCATCTGGGGCCCACCAAGCTTTTTCCGCCCTTTGCTGGATGTGATGTTTGATCGGTATTTTTTCTTTTCTTTTTTGGTATATTGATAGTTATATCTTTGTTTTGCTTTCTGTTCCTTAACCACAGTAGAAACCCAGAGAGCTTGAATTATTGTACCTTACACATCTATTCATGTAGATTGCACATTTCACAGTATCTTTGCCAAATTTTGCATTTTGGTATCTTGAAGTATCTTGTTTAAAAATGTGCTTTGGCCATTTTTGTGTTGCTTTGTAAAAAATCCTAAGCAAAAAAGAAAAAAAGGACATCTAACTGAAGAGCAAAATTTCTCTCTGCCTGTCTTTAAAAATTGCACTAGGATACCAACTGTTAATAAAATGGAGCACCTAAAGTGAAGAGCAGAAGAGAAAATGTGCAAAGGTTTTTTCAATTGTGAAACAATTTTCATGAGCTTTACTTCCTTCCACCAATAGGAAGAGCTCTGTTATAAAAGGCAGCTTCTTTCATTAGCTCTTAATTACCTAAAACCTGGTGTTTTGCTCTAAAGTTATGGAAATAAAAAAGCAATCAATTGCTTATGGCAATGGTGAGAAGCTGCAATTACTCCACTGCTCAATTAAAGGCATAGCACATCAGACTTTTAGACATATTTCCATCAAAAAGGGTCTTAAATGCAGAATGAAAGAACTGTTTATTCAGTGCATTGCTTATTCAGTGTCAGTTTTTATATAAAAGAAAGATTTTATCCTGCAATGTATCTGCATTTGAAAGTTGTTTTATTTTTTACTGTCCTTGACCAATGTCTCCCATATATGGTTGCCAGTCTGGACCCTAAGTACTCTGCATTGTCCTTCTGCTGCTGAACGAGACAATAAGACAGCCACATGTCTTCACCCTCTTTGGACAAAATGCTCTCCACCAGCATTATGGCACATTTTGAGTCCAGCAGTAGGTGTAGAATAGCCTTCCCCAACCTGGTGGCCTTGAGAGACATTTGGACCGCAAGTCCCAAAATTCTCATCCAGCAAGGCCATTGACTGGGAATTCTGGGTGTTGTCATCCAAACATGTTAGGAAGACAAAAGATTGGGGAAGGCTGGTGTAGAAGAACAGACCTCAGGATTAGAATTAGAAGATGTAGCTGCCCCATGCTCTGCTTCAGCAACAGCAACAGGTAGAGGAGGGATTTGGCCAGCCTATCAACCCTGGCTAAGAATGCCAGGAAGAGAAAATGTTCAACACTGGAGGACCCTTTTTAGTTGATTGACCTTCTCACTCCACTACCACCCTACTGAAGAGACTACTGAGGCTGGAAAACTGAGACTTGAACCTCTTTCATGTCTATAATGTGGGACTCCTCTTTTTATTTATTTATAAAATTTGTATGCCGTCCAATTACTAACGTCTCTGGACGGCTAACAGTATAAATAAATTGACAACCCACTCTGGCTGCATTTAATAAAATACAATAATAAAATTTGATATTAAAAGTTATTAAAATATTGATTAAATAAAAAGGTCTTAACCTGGTGCCAAAAAACATATAATGACGGCGCCAGGTGGACCTCTCTGGGGAGCACATTCCATAGTCGGGGCACCACCGCAGAGAAGGCCCTCCTCCGGGTACTCTGTCTCCTAACATCTTTCACAGAGGGTTCCCGGAGGAGGGCTTCTGTTGCCAATCTCAGGGGGTGGGAGGGCAAATAGGGAAAAAGGCGTTCCTTTAGGTATCCTGGTCTCAAGCTGTTTAGGGCATTATAGGTAATAACCAGCACCTTGAATTGAGCCCAGACTTCGATGGGAAGCCAATGGAGCTGATAGAGGGCTGGGGTTATATGAGAATAATGCCCAGGCCCCAACAGCATCTTGACAGCTCTATTTTGAACCATCTGAAGTATCCGGACTGTCTTCAAGGGCAGCCCCATGTAAAGCGCGTTATAGAAATCCAACTGGGAAGTAACCAATGTGTGTGTTACTGTTGTTAGGCAATCTTCCTCCAGGTAGGGACGCAGCTGATGGATTAGCCGAAGCTGAAGGAAAGCGCTCCTTGCCACCGCTGTCACTTAGGCTTCCAAGGACAGCTTCGGGTCGAGGAGCACTCCCAAGCTGCGGACCCTGTCCTTTAGAGGGAGTGCAACACCGTCCAGGGCAAGGCCCAAGTCACCTACCCAGGAGCTCGAATCACCCACCAACAGAACCTCCATCTTATCTGGCTTGAGCTTCAGTTTATTGGTCTCATCCAGCCCATTAACCTGGCCAGGCACTGGTTCAGTACAGCCACTGCCTCACCTGAGTTAGTTGAAAAAGAGAGGTGGAGCTGGGTGTCATCAGCATATTGATGACTCCGCAGCCCAAACCTCCTGATGACCTCTCCCAGCGGTTTCATGTAGATATTAAATAGCAAGGGGGACAAAATGGAACCCTGCGGTACTCCATGGCAAAGTTGCCATGGCACAGAGCCAAAGTCCCCCAGCACCACTTTCTGGAATCGGCCATCAAGGTAGGAGTGGAACCACTGCCAAGCAGTGCCTCCTACTCCCAATCCCACCAGCCTATCCAGGAGGATACCATGGTCGATAGTATTGAAAGCCGCTGAGAGGTCCAGGAGAACCAACAGGGATGCACTCGCCCTGTCTCTCTCCCTGCACAGGTCATTGTACTGGGCAACAAGGCAGATTCAGTACCATACCCAGGTCTGAAGCCAGACTGAAATGGGTCCAGATAATCAGTTTCATCCCAGACTACCTGGAGTTGTCCCGCCACCACCCATTCCAACACCTTGCCCCAAAACGGGATGTTGGCCACCGGTCTATAATTGGCAGCCACCTCTGGATTCAGAGATGCCTTCTTTAGGACAGGCCTGATTACCGCCTTCTTTAAAGGAGCGGGCACCCAGCCATCCCTCAGAGAGGCGTTAATAACCTCCAGGATCCAGGAACCAATCCTGTGTTTGGCTTTGGTCAGCAGCCACGAAGGGCAAGGGTCAAACAAACAGGTGGTAGGACGTACTTGTCCAAATCATTGGGCTGCATTAATTGAAATTCATCCATTAATACCTGACCAGACGGAGTCATTGGTGTCTCCCCTAAGGGATCTGAATCAATTGTGGAGTCCAGCTCGTGACAAATCTGAGTGATTTTCTCCTTGAAGTGCTGGGCAAAGTCATCACAGCGGGCCATCGATGGTGGTACAGGATCTTTCTTAGGGCTGGGGTATATCAGCCCATGTACCACTTGAAAAAGCTCCGCTGTATGACACTATGAGGAGGCAATGGAAGTGGAGAAGAATTTCTTCTTCGCTGCCCTCACTGCCACAGCATAGGCTCAATAATGAGCACGTAAGCGTGTTCGGTCAGATTCATCCCGTGATTTCCTCCACCTGCGCTCTAGTCATCTCCCAACCCGCTTCATTGCCCGTAATTCAGATGTATACCATGGGGATGGACGGGCTCTGCTTGGCAGGAGAGCACGCTTAGGGACGATCATGTCAATTGCTCTGGCCATTTCCCCATTCCACAGTTCAACCAGAGCATCAACAAGCGTGCCAGCTTTATCAACCGGAAAATCTCCCAGAGTCCTCAGGAATCCATCCAGATCCATCTGGCTCCAAGGGTGGACCATCACAATAGGGTCTGCACCCTTACAGAGAGAAAGGCCAGCTCCAAGCTCAAACCTTACGAGGAAGTGATCTGACCATGACAAGGGAGTCAGACGCAAATTCCTCACCCTCAAATCACCCTCTTTCTGCCCCGTCGAGAAAACCAGGTCCAGCGTGTGACCATGTTCATGGGTTGGGCCTATGACATGTTGAGACAGCCGTCATGTGGAGGCCATGAAGTTCTGAGCCGCCCCGGTCAGAACAGTCTCGACATGGAGATTGAAGTCCCCCAGGACCAACACCCTGGGGGTCTTCAACACCAGGTCCGAGACGATCTCCGTCAGCTCAGGCAGGGAGTCTGATGGGCAGAAGGGTGCACGGTACACCAGCAGAATCCCCAATCTGTCTTGATCGCCCAGTGCCAGGTATAAACACTCTAGACCTGGTCTCAAGGGAACAGGAAGCCCCATGAGGGAAATAGAAGCTCAGTGAATTAAAGCAAGCCTTTTAGTGTAATTTTAAAATTTGTGTCTAATGCAAGCATTCTTTCCCCATTGACAGAGAATGGATGCGTACTGAATTTGTGGTTGCACTCAGCTTGCTGACTTCTTGGGGGACTCACTGTTTAGGCATGGCACCTGCACATGTCATTGCTACTGTGCTGAGATATTGGTACCAGGACTCCCCACCAGGAGAGATGGTCTCTCTCGGGGTGATCAGTGAAGGTAAATGTTGTTTACTCAAGTAGTCATGAAATGTTTCTCTGTCTCACTGCTCCATTTACACTAGAGGCTATGAACAAGGTTTGCATTTTTCCATCCCAATTAAAATGTTGTGGGCACATTAGAGCTAAATCAAAGCATGTTTCATTCCCAGTACATTCAACAGCAGTGTTAATGACCTACTTAACTTTCTTTCAAGGAAATCAAATCAAGTTTCTTTGGCTGGAAAAGCCACCTTTATGAAAGATGGGGGTTGTCCTGCTGAAGGTGGTGTTGCTGCTGCTGTTTTAACAGTGTCATCATGCCAACTTTCGGTCTTTAAAATATTATTTCACCCACTTTTGAAAGAAGTAGAGGACAATAGAAAAATGAAAGACAGCAGAAAGGGGAAAAAGGGATATCTATGTAGAAGTTGTACACAGAAAACATGTAAACATCTAATATTTATATTAAGCTACAAAGAATTCTGAAATCTGGGTGTGAAACAGTAGAATAGTTTCTGATATAATTTAACCTTAAATCTGTTTTAAAGAGTGGTTTTCCTGTTAGAGGATTTGTACCTGCAGTTTCAAAGAAAATTTTTTTTTATTCTTTCTCTGAAATCTCTTGTCCAAATCTATTAAAGGCTATATAAATCCACTATCCATTTCACTGTATTATATAGAAATGTGAATCATCTGAGTTTCTATCTGCTGTACCTGTAACTGTAAAAAGACATGGAAAAATTCCTAGACTGGACACATTTTCTTAGGTCAGACAAAACATGATTACAGATCAAGGGCTCTTTGTATTAGCAGTCAGAAAGCAGCGTGCTGAAATTCCATCCTTTTTCACTTAATGGAGGTTCTTCAGTGGGTAAGGAGAAGAAGATGCTGTTGCATGAAACTCTCCTCTCCACCCTGTAAAATTCTGTTGACAGGGCAGAACCACCCTAGGCAAAATGCTCCATATTAAGGCAATTCCAATTTTTAGTGATAAAAAGTTTGTTGTTTGTGAAAGAAACACAGTGTAAAAGCCCTGTTTGTTTCTTAGGTCAATTTGGGCTTCCCGAGGATATTGTCTACTCCATGCCAGTACGATTTGAGAATGGCAACTGGAAGGTCTTTACAGAAATAGAAATTAATGAGAAAATGCAAGAATTTCTTCAGATTCTAGCCTGTGATCTGATTAGGGTAATGTCAAACTACATTCTTGCCTGTAATATTGCTCCCAGAATTCTCTCTCATATTTTTGCACACTTTCCAAGCAAGAAACCCTGCTTTACTCCTGATGTGGAATATGGATGGGCAAATCCAATCAATTTCTCTGATCCTTATTTTCCAGTCTTAAGTTTGGTTTGTCCCAAACTTAAAAAAAATCAAACTTTGATTTTTTTAAAAGTTTGCATAATTTTTAAAGCATTGTACTTACTTTTCTATATATTTGCTGTGTGTATGTCTATCTAATAGTGTTTTTCTTCACGTAACATTCTTCTTTCTAATATATGAATTTTTGTGTGCATGTCTATTAGAAAACTCCATTGCAACATTCAGGAAAGCACACATTTCAAAAGACAACTGAATTTTGATTTGCATAGTGTTTCAAAAGTGCAAAATTATGCAAATACTGAGCCAGTGTGGTGTAGTGGTTAAGAGCATGGGACTGGGACTCAGACGATCTGGGTTCTAATCCCCGCTCGGCCATGGAGCCAACTGGGTGACTTTGGGCCAGTCACAGACTCTCAGCCCAACCTACCTCACAGGGCTGTTGTTGTGGAGATATGATGGAGAAGGAGATGTAAGCTGCCTTGAGCCTTTGTAGGAAAAAGGCATGATATAAATCGAAAATAATAAATAAATAAATAAATAAATAAATTCAGTGTGAACTGAACAAATGTATCTCCCATCCCTTGTGTGGAGGGCCTATTGGCAAATCGGCAAAGGACTTCCATAATCATTTATACTGAAATGGTACAATTAAGGCAGCAATCCTGTGACTGCTCGGCAGTGTCTGGACTGCCGTAGTATTTGTCAGAGACCAAGCTTCTTGGCTGAAAAAGTGCTCTGACCTTATGGCTGATTCTGTGAGCTCCGGCCACCCTTGCAGCCAGCGTGGAGAGAACTTCCCTGGCCACAACTCTGAGGCTGCCAAAGTGGCCCTGGGGACAGGGTTCAGGAAGTGTTTGGGGCAGGTTGAGGAGGCGACAAGGGCCTGCACAAGGCAAAGTAACCTGGGGATGCCTCAGCTGTCCCCTCTCACTCTCTGATGGTTAGTGTGGGCCACTTTGCAGGGCAAGAGAAGTGTGGAGGTGACCTTCACCTCTGCATTTCTTCCACCAGCTGTAGGATGTCCACAATCTCTTGAGGGTTACAAGCATCCAGAACGGATTGCACCCTAATTTACTTTTCATTGGAGTTCATGTTTGCTACTTGCTCATTTTCCCTGTTTGATTGGCTAGTTCACAGGCAGTTTACTGCATCCAGGATACCAAAAACCAAATTCCCGTATCAGTGTAGATTGAACAAACTTGTAATGTCTGAAACAGTAATTCACAGATCTCCTAGCAAGTTCACAAATGCACATTAAAGATCCTAACTTGGTCTGTGGGTGGGATTGCTTGCACATTTGGAGAAGACTTTCACAAGCACAAAAACTAGCAAAAACATAACACGTAAAGTAATCCATTCCCTTCCATTTCAATAGAAGCTGTAGTGCACATTTCAGCAAAACTTTTGGGGAATGGATTATAGGACCTGGAAGGCATGGTCCTATATGTTCATTTCTTTCAGTAGTTGTGTTCAGAACATTGAAAATACTGCCTGGGACACACTACTGCAAAGTTTTGAAAGGTCATGGTTTAGTCCCTGAAATGTGTGTTTCAGGGACTAAAACACACAGGTAAATGCCACAGTAAAATAGTGACATTTTAGAATCAATGCATTAAACAAAAGAAGCAGGCAAATAACTTCTCAAAAAGGAGGTTATTAGTTCTGGTTATCTGAATTTATTGTTACTGTAATGCACTTAAAGATATAATAGCTGTACTGATTGCAGCTGTCCTGCTAAATATGTTTCTATGTTTCCCCATACAGGAAAGACAAGTTGCATTAGGTGAAGTAACAGAATTGTATCCGCAAAGAAAAGGTAAAAATGAGAGCTTGAGTGAGAGTGTTTTCTATAACAGCTGACAGACTGAATCTGAAGACTAGTCTTAGAGGCGTACATTCTCAGGGACTAGATTTTTAAACCAAACAAAAGTTGTGAATTGAAAATATCTGGAGTCTAGCTACAGATGAATAAAGGCTAATCATCCCATCCGTTACGAGACTTCTGGAATCCCCAGTTTCTTAAGTATTAGGTTATACAAGCTGACTGGCATTTATAATTCAGTGAATAGTCATGTGACAAATGGTAAAAGATGATTTTCTCTCAAGATACAGAGAATAAACTGAGCCTGAATCCAAAGAAAAGAGAAGATAGTTCAGTGAGCCAAAGAAGTGTAGATTTGTTCTCCTAAAACACAGCCCTTTGCCTGTGTCACATGGCAAGCTGGGGGAAGCTTCAGAAGGAATTTGTGAAATGCTATTTGGAGCAGAGAAGTAAAAAATCCTCAAAGTTTGCAGAAAATACCTATTTGGATCCCAAGCATTAGTTGTCATTGTATACCAAGTTTGCAGTTTAGGCAGATTATAATATAAGGGCTGAAGGACTGAATGCAGGCCAGGCCTGATGTAAACTGCAATCCTCTGTGTCTATACAAAAGTAAGCCCCACTGAGATTCTTCCAGGTAAGAGGATGTAAGATGGCCACCTTAAAGGCACACAGTGCTCAGGATTTGTTGCCATACTTGGGCAATATGCCTTCTGTTCTTCATGCTGTCATTCGGACTGCCAGCACAACATGAAGTGAACTGTTTGAGAAGCAGCTGGAAACAAACAGAAATGCTCCTATATTGAAATGGGCAGGTCAGCAGAACCTGCAGAAGGAAGCTGTGTTGACCTGTTTCTGGGAATGCTTCTTGAATCACAACTTCTCATTGCACAAGCAGTGGGTCTCACTTGGAAAACCAACACAAAAGGAACGGTGAGGCAGAACTGGATACTGCCCCTTGATTGCATTCCTGGAAGTAATGGGCTCAGGTCTTTTCTGGGATAATTTTACACATTTGTTCCCAGTAGAATTCTTCTAGCTCTTGAAGTGCAGACTGAATGGCCAGCTATTGCCAGATTTTACTTCAGCTCATCAGTGTAGATGTGGCTTTTCATGCTAATGAAAGCAGTATAGTTAAATGTCAGGAAACTGACATTCTGTATTACAGAAGTTTGTGTGCCACGTATTGATTCAGTGGAAGAAGAGCAAGTCCTTGATGGTAAGGCATTTTTTAAAGCAATTATTTACTGGGCAATGTTATCAAAATAAGCAAAAGCCTGCAAGACTTTGGGAGGCTCTGCATTCTGGCCAGAAAAGGAGTATATTGATAAAAGAATGTATAGAATATATGTATAGAGATGGGAACACTCTTCAGGACCCCTTGAAGCTTGTGCATATTGCCTGGAAAGTATGCAAAATGTAGTCAAGATAGGGGAGTACAACACCAGAAAACTCATTCCACTTGAGCTTGATGAATTTCTAACCTGAGAGCCCAAAGCAGGCTAAATCAAGGCAAGGGTATTTTACTTCTGTGAAATTTTTGCAGATGTGGAATTAAGGACTATGTGTGTCTAGCACAAGGTGCACAAAATGGGGCAAACTTGTAACATTTGAGTCATGGTTCTCCTTGTTGTAATAACATTGAATAAGAGCCATATAGAAGCATCTTCTCACTGCATGGGTACATATTCCACCTGGGCAGTTTTTTGACAGTTAAGTCAGTTTTGTTTTGTTTTTTATAAAATTTGAACCTCTGCCCTACAATTTGCACAAATTGCAGAACTTAAATTTGTGCAATTTTCCCTGGCTTTAGAAAAATACAATTAAACAAAAAAATCTCCAAGTTGACTTGAATCACATCAGAGCATATCAGTTCCTGTGCAGGGTTGACAGAACAGGATCTAAAGGGCCATGTTGAGAAAATCTGTTGGATTTTTACCACAACCCCATCAGGTTCTTCACATCGCCCTAGGACAAGGTCCATATGTTCCCCAAGGTCCTTTGGGGATTACGTAGTGACCAGAAGATGAGTGAAATATGGACATCTTCCAAGGCTGGTTGGCGAATATGTATAATGGCTAGAAAAAGTGTACAGAGCCTTCTTCGTGATCACACTGTATGCACATTCTCCATGAAATGTGCACGAGGGCAGGTTGTTACGTACACTCCCTTTAGCCCCATATATACAGAAAGCTCACCCCATTTTTAATACATTCCTTTTAGTAAAACTGCTTACAAACATACCAAAATTAAATCTAATACAATCTACTCCTGTGACATTCCCTTAATGTAAAACTTTTGTAGCCTTATTATCACATTGCTCCATAAAAACATTTTTCAGATTGCCTGACAGCTTGTCTGCCTTCTTGCACCAGGGAGAGGTAATGATTCTTGTCTCAGAGGCATCTCTCAAATTGTAGAGAAATTGTAGATGTTTGTAGAGAAAAGGTATGATATGGGACAGGCAGTAACTGGCCGCCTTTCCATAACAGGATGTGGGACCCAGCACAAATGAATCCCAGCTGATGCCATGCATAGAAACTGGTTCTAATGAAAATGACAACACAGTAAGACCTGCTAAAGAACCTGGCAGGTTCCCTAGCGATTTGTACCACTGTGGAAAGTATAATTTTAAAACTTGGTGACTGGGCAGAGCAATTGCCACTGCCTAACTTTAAAATTTGCTAGCAGCTGAACTCTGAAAAAGCCGCTAAAGGACCGGAAGCCACAGGGCTGCCCACCCTTAAAAGCATGGCCACCAGTACCCAGATGGCTGTTTCTGTGTTCATGCTGCTATTTAAACATCTGCCCCTTCTAACACTGTACAGAACTGATATGTTCTTTACCCTTTTTTCAAGAGGTTGGCCTTTCATCAAGTGGCCAAGAAATCCCTTTGGAAAGCGAGGATCACACTACTGCTGAAGGTAGATCTCACAAAGGGGTTTTTCCTTTCCATAGGTTAACCAGAATCTAACCAGGTGTGTTGCAAACCACAGTGAGAAAAGGAATAGATGGAGAGGGGCAACATAATCCTTTCCCCTCTGATACTTTCTAGCTCAAAATTACTCTCCCAGATCTACTCCTCACTCTACCACCCCAAGCACAGTTTGTGTGAGGTTAAATATCTTTATGTAATGAAAAGCAGCTTGTTTCATGTAAATTTGAAAAGGATAAATTGATCCCACTGAAAAACAAGCTTTAGATAATGTGAAGGGCATGAAAGTTCTGATGATGATGCCATCTGTGCAAGTCCCCACTTGATCTGCAGTTGTCAAGTTACAAGCAAGTGCAAACTAGCCTTGAGATAATGCAACTGAATATTTTGGCCAGGTCTACTTAAGACATTTGAATTTGACAAGCTGGTTCCAGAAGTCCAATCTCTTGTGTGTTCTTGTCTTACTACCTCCAACTATGATAAACCAAGGGCCAGTTCTTATGTCATGATAAGCTATGATGGCTTAATGAAGCCATGAAGTTCCAAGACAAACAGAAGCCATCATTTTGAACATGAAAGTAATGTAGAGTGGGGGAAGCCCCACAGTTTGACATGCCAGGCAAATCTGAGCATCGTGTTATTTGATAGTTAAACAACCCTTGGATAACCCTAGAACAACCCATGGTGTTTGACTCTTGTTTTCCATTAGGCATGCTGCTTCATAAGGTAATTTTATAATTAGGTTTGTTGGAGTAACTATGGCTTGTATTGTAGCACTGGGAGCAACTAAAAAGGGTTGGAAGTACTACCTCAGGCAGGTAGGCAAGCCTTTGCTGATGCCTGAATCCCCAAGCTCATAGCAACTGGCCTCAGTTAACCTGGAGTGTGCATAAGCCAGTTGTACAGATCAGAAAAGCCAGAGAGAAAAATGACCTCGCTTAACATCATTCAATAACCCCTATTGCCTTGTAAAACTCCCCTTCTCTTCCCTAGAATAATTTAAAAATACAGTTTTCCACCCACTAGAAAGCCCCTCCCAGGCGCCAATTGGCC